GACGTAAATACCGGCCACGCCCAGTTATTGGCAATAGCGATCGTTATCGGACCTCTCTTTTGCATGGCGAAAATCCTTCACCATCTCTTTCTTCGCTAAATGTTCCTTTTCCTTTCCTTTCGGTTTGAACTGCTTGATCGACCCACCCCCTCGGTGAAATTAGTCAGGACGCATGTGCACTGCTTGCACTGCTTAAAGGCCGTAAACTGGTTAGCCGGCCGCTTCGGGTAACGGCTTATAGATGGCGCCGCTGTTTCCTGGCCATTAGCGACTTTTTCCGTAAAAATCGTAACTGGCTTTTTGTTTCTAATTGATGTTTTTCCATCTGCAACATCTGCATTTTCGCAATAGCATCTGTATCTGAACGCGAATCCTTCGCGATGCGTGCGCCTGCGTTTTTGTGGTCCCACAACAACACAACAACAACACTTGGCCATATTTTACCGCTTTTAAGCAGCGCGTAAATACTCACGCTTACTGCAAGAGTCCATTAAACGGTCGTAAAAACTTTACGATTCCCAATATGAGATTCTCTTAATACGATTTTTTATGATATTGAAATCTCCTTTCGCAGCGAGCCCATCATCGCCCATCTTCGAGTCAAAAGAAAGACCATCTGAGGCTCGCTCGCTGTCTCCCTTCTCCCCTGCATCCATCGAGCAGTCAGCTTTTCCGCCTCTTTTCCAGCTGGGGGAAAGCTGGAAAACTGAAAAACCACCGCCGCAGGTATCATAATGGCCATCCCTCGACAACGGGGCGTATGCGTGTGCTTTAATGCCTTGTTGAGGTCTATAAAACACGCTCGTCATCCCGGCGATGACGAAAAGCCAGCGTCTCAGTTGTCGATTTTCATTCAGTTAACCACGGCCAAGGAAAACATAAGGGCAACATACTAATTAATTTGAACTCGATTCTGTGGACATTTGGAAGTTCTTGTATAAATAGTCAGGTATCGTAAACGTATTTTCAGCCAATTTAAGCATTTATGTGGATGTAAATTTAAAACAGAAAAATGGAAATGGAAATGATGCATGATCACAAAACCAAGTTGAGTTTGATAATTATTTTTTAGTTCATTACTTAGATCTTTAACATTATTGCTTCATTAGTTAAGCATTAACTGGTTAATATCACATATACTAGTCGTGTGATAAGGTAGGGCTTAGGACACCTTAATAAACATTATATTCTCGAAACAATCTCCTTCATAACTTCCACCGCAACCACTATAGCCACTAGCACTACAATTATGGGCTGATACTTTAAATAATATTTACAAATATTTCACATTCTAAACACTCAAATGTATATTTCTATTTATGCTTTTAGATTATGAATGATCCATGGCACTGGTAAGTGAAAGCCCATACATTCAAGTTTAGAATTATACTTAAGCCCTATAAATTACCCTTTTACGCTACACCCTCTATTACCGAAATGTACACCTATTGATTGCGGAGTTTACAAGCCAGTGCATCATTAGTGCAATTAAAAGCCAATAAAAGTAGGGGAAACACACCGGGACAGACGAGCGGACGTTAGGTGTGCACTCGTATAAATTTTATTGAGTAATTCGGAGGTGACTCGAGATCGCTGCCGAGCAGACGACTATGACACGGAGACCCAGATTCTCGGGGTGACCCATAAACCCGACCGCATCGGGGATTAAAAAATGATTGCGTGAGAAGGCATTTAGTAATCGTCGGAAGAACTCATTCGTCAGATGATCGGGGGGCGGGGAAGCCACAAGCACAAGCCCGGCCAAACAAGCCGTAAACCGACGCTATAAAAGTGTATCAAATTAGGGAACGAACTGGATGTGCAGGGAGTTTTTACTTCCGCCGCCACTGAGCCGCACTTTCCACTCGCACTCCACGCGAGTCTCACTCAATGCCATTGATTTTATGGCGAGTGACAATTGATTCTGGTCTCATTACTCACTCCGAGTCGAAATACTTTACAGTCTTTTTATGGGCAATTACGCCTGTCTTCTAGCTGGTTTTACGATCCGCACTCAGCGCCGAATCGCACTTGCAACGGCAATAGTTCCCGCGGTTTGGGCCAGCGAAAGGAAAACTGGCTGGCAGCTTATTAATCGAATGGATTTTCGATTGCCCACCAACGAAACTGGTGGTGATTTAAATGTTTTTCGGCAATATCGTGACCAAAAGTAAAACTACAAGACGGGGAATATTATGAGTTAACAAATTGATGTTATAGCAACGAGGTAAAAAAAAATTGAACACCTTTGTTTCTGTATTGTACAAAAATACACCCTTTATAATGTTGGTAGCCGTAAAATTGGATATAAGCAATAAGGGTGTAGGCATTTCTAAATAAATATTAGTTTTTATAATAAAATATAAGAAAATAGTTTAAGAAATAAATTAATAGGAATTGATTTTGTATTTTGAAATAATAAACAATTCATCGCATTTGTAATTGGTTTACTTAATTTAATAAATATATTCAATCCCCAATAAAATTAAAATATTGACATCATTTAATGGGTTTCCTTACAATAAATTTATTTCTAATTTACTTGTATTAACTTTAATTTCCCCATTCTCAGTATGTAATTGCCTTTATTGTTTTACAAGTGTTTCCATTCTTTTTACGCCTATTTTGTTTTAGATACAACCTGTCGCACGAAAGATTACAACGGAGCTGTTTCTTTTATGGTTTGTTCCGCTTTTGTTTAACGGTCCCGAGGATCACACGCAATCCCACGCAATCCCACGCAATCCACCACCGAAGTCAGAATTATTTGACTCAACGCAACACAACGCAACGCAACTCGACTCAACCGAAACCCGACTCCCATCCCCGGGTACTCAAAATAGTGTTTTATTGTTTAAAATTACGCTTCTTTTATTTATTTACGCTTTTTTCAGCATATTCTGCTCACCCAGTTTCAATTTTTATATGTTTATTACGATTATTATCGTTTAATGGGGCTCGCTGGCTGGTTATTGCTCTTTTTGTTATTGTTGCAGCAGTAGTTGTGTCAGACTAACGTGTGAAGTTGTTTTATTATTTGTTTTGATTATCAAAATGGGCGTTTTACATTTTTCCGGTCGTTGGGCGGCCCACCTGCCACGAGCCCACAGCTTATAGCCCATATCCCATAACCCCGGGGCAAGGGCAGTAAATCACGGCCCGCTGTGAGTGGCTGAGTATCTGAGCAGCAGTACACTCAAAAAAAAATCGCCACTGAGTTTGCAGACTTACTAACATTCCATATATGATTTGCTTCTTAAGTTTCAAGCAATAATTTTACTTTCACATATTTTATTTATTTACTAAATGAAACCAAAATCCAAACACTTTGAAAAGTTATTCCTTACAAATATTTTCATTTCCAAAATCATACGAATTCTTTTCAGTGAGTGAGTGAGATCGAGTGCATTGAGTGCTGGCCACTCATTCGCACTCATCGTATGACCCATAAACATAAACCAAAGTGTGGCAAAATGTTTAATTTGGAATTTATGAGCAATTAATTTTAAAGCACTCTGCTGGCCGTTAACGCTGTTTTTGTCCCTCCCCCCGTTGGCCACCACCCACCCTTGGCCATAAAAGATTTAACAAGCCAGCGTGCCAAAAATTGATTGTTTACCCAATCCGCTGATTGATCAATTATTCAATTGTTATCGCCGAAGATTTGGCAATCGTATTTAAGCAACTGCCGTAAAACTACGCGAAAGTCAATTATAAAAGAATTAAACGATTAAATAACCAGGTGAGAATACCATCTAATTGGCAGGTAATAAAGAAAACCATTTAATTTAAATGAATATGTCGCGGTAAAATATAATGCTTATTAAACCAAAGAGATATATTTCTATTCAATAAGCACATGGAATATCAATAAGTTTATTGTAAACATAAGCAACTATATCGTGATATGCATCTACACAATTAAAAAATTTTGTAACTGAATGTAAAAAAAGCTAAATTCAATATGACTTTTTGTCATTAATTTTAATTTAATTTAGCTTTTAACGAAAATAAATTATAAAAGGATGGTGTTTAAGGACTTTTTTCAGGTAAACTAATAAAATACTCATAATAACATAAAATAAAATAAAGAATTGTTTTTGTTTACAAAATTGGAATTAAAAAAGGATAATAAATAAATAAAACCTTTAAAACTTGCCTGGTTTCTGTTTCACTCACTGTGCAAAATACTTTAAAAGAGTCAAACAGCAAAGTTCTCAAAGTGGGTAAGTTAAGAAATTGCAGATTCGCTTTATTTTCGCACACATTTGCCCTATTCAAGTGAAAGAGAGGGAAAAATAGAGCTGAAGAGGAGGGGTGGAGAAATGCTTGTGTGCTGTCCAATTTCAATCGTAAATTTGAAATTTTTCATAAAAATGTCATAACAGCAATTCCAGCGACAAAAAGAAAAGAGAAGAGAAAGAAGGCGGACAAAAGGCGGCGGCCAAAAAAAAAATGAAGAAGCAGAGCTGACTTTTTGCAGAGTCGGCGTTTTTCATCTGCCAAATTTATGGATTTTTCGTAATGCCGCTAGGGGTGGGCCCATAAAAAATGAAATACAAATTTCGGCTAATTTGTATCGAAAAGTGCTCACTCAAACGCCGCGCTCAGCATGAAAAATGCTGGGTAATTTAATCAACAATAACATTTGGCCAAACAAAGCATAAAACACTTAAAAAACCAAGCCACTCAAAGCGGGGCTCAAATAGTTTCGCTCAACGCTCATTCTCACGTTATAAAAATGGAAATAAGGAGAGCACTTACAAACACACTCAAATGAAAAAAACTCACTCAAGGCGCAGAGGCGGCCATCATGCCAAAGAGAGAGAACGAGAGAGTTGGGGCAAGGCAAGTTCGGCATGAGCACTGAGTGAGAGCGGGACGAATATAAGACCCAGCTGCGCTGCCATCTTTCTTATTGCCGCCGCTGCCGCCGTCGGCGTTGAGTGGCTTTCCGTCAGCGAGTGAGTTGAAATGAATTGTCACAGACTCAGCATCCAGTTGCCCATAAGAACGCTCGCATGGCTTTTGTATTGCGCCATAAACGTTTCGCTGCTCGTAACGCCACAACGCTCGACGTTCGCAGCGGCCTTCGCTTTCGCTTCTCTTCTCGCGCGTAAAGCGGTCTCCCTAAAAAATACAAATAAAATACAACAAAAAAATCAACTACAACAAATACCCCCATCCGCAGACAGACAAAACTCAAGTCTCCAACGACTCAAGCGTCGCTGTCGCAGCCGCTGCTCTGTCGACGTCGCTGCCTACGCGGGCAGCAAGAATTACCAATTACACGAAATTTTTATACTCTTTTAAAAATTTCGTTTTATTATAATATTTATTATCGTGGCGCGCAGTAGTGTCTGCGGAACTCAGCTCTCCACTCTTAGCGATTCTCGGCCCTCCGATTCCGATTCGGATTGTACGATTATACGACTATACGATTCTGTTTCCGATTCGCCGTGTTTATTGTTCCGTTTCGGCCGCCGGCTTATTGTCACTTAACTGTTATAGAGCGCATAAAACATATATCTATATAGTGTGTGTGAAAAATTCGAAAAACCGAAAAAAACTGTCAAAACACTCGGTTTATAACTCTCTGTGTGCGGTGCATAAAAATTAAAAAGCCATAAAGTTGACATCGTAAAAGGTTCCGCAGTTCGACAGCTCCAAAGTTCGATAGTTCTACCTGCAAAGTGTTTTATGGCATTTTAAACAAAGTAATTAAAGCAAAGCGTAGGGAGAAAGCATTTCTCCGGCCACACACACTCACTCACGCACACTTGAGAAGTCGTTAAAAGCCGCAGGGAAACTCACTCTGCCATAAAAATACAAGAGTGCCATTAAAAAAGATCGCGCGCCTATAAATCACACGTACGAAATCCCGCCGGCACAACACGTCCATTCGAATTTCCGCGTAATTGATGGCCGCATTTTAATTGCTTTTACAACAAATAAAAAATACACACACCCAGCAAACACACATAAACCCACACACACACTTGTGCCACAGCTGCAGAAACAACGCAACCCGAGACCATATGCAAATTTAACAAATTTCGTTGTGAATTCGCCAGCTTCGAGCGAAAAAGAAGTATTAGAAAAGCTGAAAAGGTGTACAAATACAAACTGCTCACCAAAAGTTCGCTAGAGAAAACTCGATAAAGGTAACGAAATGCATTTCACTTCTCAGAATCGAGAAAAGTAGCTTAAAGTCGGTCAGGTGGCAAAGTTTCTTATCTCTATCTCTTACTTTAACTATCTAAAAGCTACTAATTATTTGCCATCTCATTTGGTCCACTAATTTGGGTTTGACATCAAAAAACCATTGAAGTAGCTTCCTTACTAACCCTTTGGCATTGTGCAGGGAAATCTAGCTGAAAAATATATAAAACATCGGGATTGTATATATTTTCCACTTGAGTTCTGTATCTTGCTTCCCGAAAGATTTATGTCCAATCTAAACATATTCAATTTGGCTAATGTTCTTTTTATGTTTTCCGAGTAATTTTTAAAGGCAGTATATATTTTTTATTTTCCCATTTTTTTTATATTTGTCGCGAGGTTTATTTTCGGTTTTAGTACATTTTAATTCAATCAATTTGGGTTGTGATTTATATTCGCAATTCCATTGTAGTCTATGTTTGATTATAGGATAGTAAAGTAAATTCGAGACAGTAATAAAATATTTTTAGGTGTAGATTTTTAAGTTAAAGTAATTTAATGAGACATAAACACTTTTTATTTTGGGTTATAAGTTTCTAAAGTAAAGAGGGCGATTTAGAAAAAACCAATTTAAAGTTTTGAAACTAGTTATTCATCAAATAATGAACACTTTTTCTACGGTCTGAAACATTTTAAATAGGGATCACTTTTGAATTAGATTAACGCTGTTATAACTAGACAGACAGCTAAATTCTTTATTTTAATGTCAAACAAACACTTAAATCTTAATCTATCGCTGAACCTTAAAGCGTGTTCAATTCATTGCTTTTTTACATAGCAAACAATATAGTCGATTCTTTTGCCTTATTCTGGCTGAAAGCGCTTTTCCATCCGCTGAATTCAAACCAAATTTGTTAAAGTCACACAGAGAGAATGCTTAAAATCTCAAAATTAAATACCCAATCTAGCCATTGAACAAACGACTCAGATATATAACTCGAAACACTCGAAGAAAGCTCCGAAACGAAAAAAGAACACAAAGTGAACTGAACGAAATTCCGAAGATTCGATCCTCGGCCAGAGAGCAAAATATGTGCAATGTCAAAATTTGTTTTCGATAGTATGCTGCCAAAGTATCCACAGTTCCAGCCGTTTATCAGTTCGCACCACCTAACCACCACCCCCCGAATTCGTCATCTGCAGCAGTTGCCGCCGCCCTTGCAGCCGCCGCCGCCTCTGCCTCCGCCAGCGTCTCAGCCAACAGCAGCAACATCAACAGCATCAGCAACATCAACAGCAGCAACAGCAACAACAACGCCAGCAGCAGCAGCAACACGAACAACAGCAACAACAACAGCGGCAGCAGTCCGAGCAGCAGCAGCAACCACAACAGCAATCTCAACCTGAGCGGCGGATCGCTTTCGCCGAGCCACTTGAGCCAGCACCTGGGCCAGTCGCCCCACTCGCCGGTGTCCTCGTCGTCGCCGTTCCAGCAGCACCACTCGCAGGTGCAGCAGCAGCACCTGAACCACCAGCAGCAGCAGCAGCATCTGCACCACCAGCAACAGCAGCACCACCACCAGTACTCCTCGCTGTCCGCCGCCCTCCAGCTGCAGCAGCAGCAGCACCACATCAGCAAGCTAGCCGCCGCCGCCGTCGCCTCCCACGGCCACGCCCACCAGCAACTGCTGCTAACGCCCCCCTCGGCGGGCAATTCGCAAGCGGGCGACAGCAGCTGCTCGCCGTCGCCTTCGGCCTCCGGGAGCTCGTCGCTGCACCGCAGCCTCAACGACAACTCCCCCGGATCCGCATCCGCGTCCGCCTCCGTGTCCGCATCCGCCGCCAGCTCCGTTGCCGCCGCTGCCGCAGCCGCCGCCGCCGCGGCCAGCTCCTCGTTTGCCATCCCCACCAGCAAAATGTACCCGTACGTCTCGAACCACCCGAGCAGCCACGGAGGACTCTCCGGAATGGCCGGCTTCACCGGACTGGAGGACAAGTCCTGCGGGTGAGTTGGGGCGACTATCTATATGGGGGAGTTGGGGGGCTACCATTTCCTTTATAGGAGAAATTTAGGATCACATTTCAACATGTAACTTTGCCGGTTTAATGGGATAACAATGAGTTAAGATTGGCTAGGGTCAATGGTTAGATTTAAATTGTATTTTAAAGATAACAATAGTATATAGTATGTCTGATATCTGTACTGTTTTCCATTCAGTATCCTTGTTAAGAGGTACAATTGTATCTTTAAAACCGTACTGTACGTTTCCCTAGATAGGCTATTAAAAATTTTAGAAATTCAGTTCTTGGTTAAAAAAAAATTAAACCAGTTCTACTTGATGCAGTAATCCTTTACTTAATCGACTGCTTTTGCCAATCTTAGTCCTTATTCACGATGGAACAACGACTGTTTTCTTAATGTGCAGTACCACAAATCTACACTCTTACCTCATTTCTCAATTATTTTTCGCATTCAAAAGTACATTCACCCGTCTTCCGAGAATTAATTTGGCATGCTCTCATTTTGCCGAGCGGAAATGCCCGTCGAAACCTTCAGTAAAATCAGCAAGCACCGCAAAACCGCAAATCCGTTTCGAATGCGCTCTAATTATCGGCAGCCGGGTCCTGGGAACCTGGCCATTTTCGCTTCGGCCACCGTCCATTCATATTGAATGGCCATAAAGTCGGAAAATTAGAGCAGCCTGCGGTGGCCGCTGGCAATTTGTCGCCGGCCACGAGATTCGCACGCACACTGACCTTCTGCTGCGGCCATTTGCATATTAGTAGCACAGTGGCCACTCCGACTACTGCTGCTACAGTGAGCCCTGCTGTGCGTGGGCGTGTTCGGGATTAGTGTGCAATTAGGCAACCGCAGTTGGGCAACGAGGATGCAAATGGCCAGCTCATTAGCATTTGACTTTCGGCAGGGAGTTCTAGCTAGGAACTTGGAGTAAGGATCACCAGCACCTTCCCATGATACTAGTGTTTCTTTCTCTTTCTATGATTCTATCTTTCTTTCTCTTTCCCACCTGCAGCAGGTACACGGACACCGTGATGAACAGCTACCAGTCGATGAGCGTACCTGCTTCGGCATCCGCGCAGTTCGCGCAGTTCTACCAACACGCCACCGCCGCCGCATCGGCGGTATCCGCTGCCAGTGCCGGAGCGATCGGAGTCGACTCGCTCGGCAACGCCTGCACACAGCCCGCCTCCGGGGTGATGCCGGGGGCAGGGGGAGCGGGCGGAGCCGGGATCGCCGATCTGCCGAGGTATCCCTGGATGACACTCACAGGTGAGTCAGCAATCGAAGAAGAGATGATGGGGATTTTTATACCTTAACAAGGGTTGAAAAATTAGAATTCAAAATGGTGTGCATTGAAACTGTAAGACAAGGCATAAGAATTTCCGCTGGAAGAAAGATTACTACATACAATTGATTTTAATAAGTGATCTGTGCTTTATTTGAAATACAATACATAAGAAGATTAATACATTCCTTAAATACTACGGGGTAGTTCCAGTTTAAGTTATTAATTTATTTAGCTGGTATCCATCGAAAAATCCGATAGGCACTTAACAACTACGCCAAACTGCAAACAAACTGAACATTAAATGAAGAGTCTATTCACTATCTTAATAAATAAATCAGGAGTAGAACCATGTACTTCAGGGAATATATATCGTCTTAAATCAAACCTAAATAAATTTCCTTCACGTTCTTCAAAAAGATCTTTTCGAATTTGGTGTGCATATAAATCAGGGCCACTTACACTGAACGAGAACAAAAAATATATTGATTGATCTATGAACAATAGCTACCAATAGCTACCATTGCAATAATTTATTTTTGTTAATGTTTGTTATAAGATCTTGTTCACATTGCGATTGTAGAAGCATTTTAATAATTTGCTTCTGAATTACCAATATTTTCTCCTAGTGTGGTAGTGTGCATGCTTACTCAGTAGCTATTACCCCAAATCCTATAAACAATAGATAAACGTGGCGCAAACATTTTCCAATAGCATTCCCATTTCCAGCGCCATTCCGCCTTCAATTCCAATCCATAATGAACACTTTGCGGGGCACTTCCAAGTCGTTTATTTCGCATAAGTCTTCCAGCGCGATTCGAGTCCGAAAAACGAAACGAACGAAGAGCTAAAAAGTTGGCAGTAAATAAAAATGAAAATAGTTTGAAAAATGCCTCTCTTGTCTGTCGTGTTGTTTGCCGCGTCGATTTGTAATTTAAATAGCCTCAAGGTTGCCCCACACCGACACACACACAGCCCCAAAAAACACTGGGATGTGCCCCGTGCATACGAAATCCAGATACCCGCCAAAAGATACAGATACGGATACAGCCACAGATACAGATACAGATACTCTTCGGCCGACGATCTTTTTATGCGGCTAACGTAGTACCAGCGAACTCGCTTCAAATTTATGTGGGTCAGTTTAATTTACGCGATCCGCTCGCTTTTTCGCGCATTTTGCACAGGCAGATTTATTTATCATTTCTCAGGCAGCCACTCGATTTCCACGGTGCACAAGAGATTGAACGAATTCAGTTTTCCACACTGCCCCGCGGGTTGAATGCCTCCTGATTAATGGCAGACACCATATGAATAGACTGTCAATTGGCCTGAGTTATAGACTGCACATCGGTCGTCTTAATAGAGAGAAGATTGCGCGATGGATTTCATTTGAATTTACTGCGTAGGCATGTTAATTAAATAGTATGAGTTATCTTCAATTAATGGACTGGCAAACGGATTTCAAATAATGGCATTAATAACAGACAACAAGGTAGAACGTTAACGGATTTTCAATCTAGTTATTTTTTACAATATGTTACATGGAACGAATATCTGGTTGAAAAAAATATAGAGATAATAATTTATAGCAATCCTGATATTGTTGATTCATAAAATCGTGACCAGACCAAAGTTCAGGGAGATTTTCAAGTTTGTAACCGATAAAAAAGAACCAGATTTTTTGATTTTATAATTGGCTAGATCTGGGTGTCACTAAATCGATAACCAGTGCTCTTATTAATCTATGCAGATTAAAAACCAATTCCTCTGTTTTAGCGGGGTTTCTCGGTCGCTGAGAACCGAAAAGTTATGAACACACAAGCGGCAAACACACCTCTTTGGCCGTCCAACCAATAGATACACACACATTCTGCAGGCGAAAACCTGTTGGCTCAGAATAAAATGATTAAAAAACCCGCCGCATCGGCCGGTTGCGAAGATAAACGGTATTTCGCACAATGAAATATTTTGCATATCTCCCGCTCACAGCGCCAAGGCGATAAAATTGTCAACGAGATCATAGAGACGCGACTGGCGGCGATGAAAGTAAATACGAGCATGACGCCATTATGGCAGCCAAATGCGCGACACGTCGACGCAGCCACAGCCCCTCCCCCTCTCCTCCCCATTCCTTATCCTCCTGAGTGCACACACTACACTCACACTAGTTCATATGTATATACACATATATATGTTTGCCATAGTCAGTTGCATGTGAATCGCACAAGAATCGCCTCCACTCCCCTGGAAAAGTCTGCTTCGTTTGGCTTTCACTTTGCCAAGCCTGCGAACCCACCCAAAAACTCTGAGACGAAGACCAAGACCCGGACCCACCAGCAACATCAACTACTGCAACAGCAACAGCAGCAACAACTGCAACAAACATTGCTGTTGCTGTTGGTGTTGCTGCTGTAGCAACGGCAACGTTTTACAGCTGAATGCTTGCCAAATGCAATTTAACTAATGAATTTTAATATTTTACGCCAAAGCGTCTGAATGAATTTTCATTTTCACATCGTTGCACCGACTCCGGCAGCAACTGCAACAGCAGCAGCAACAGCAACATTGTTGCCGAAAGGGGGAGTGGCGGAAAAGCCGGAAAATGGCTGGAGCGGCGCGCCTGCACCTGATTATGCTGATAAGAAAGCAAGGAGGTTAACTTTTCTTAATTATCTGGAAAAGCGCAGACCGACAAAGCATGAAAATGGCAAAAGCTTTTCCCATCGCCTTGCGAATTCGCTAACTCAGCACGTGCAGTGAAGAGAAAAGGGGGAAAAGTACACTCGCAGTAAATAATGTTTGCTTTTAGGTTTTGTAATAAAAATACAATGTATGTAATAGGATGAGTTATCTGTAATTAATGCCAATATTATGTTTTGAAGTAGGAAAAGGTTTTTAGGTCAGGAATTAAATCAGATATAGCCCTAGAAATATTCAATCAAAACTATAATATTAAATTCTTCTAAATGTTAAACATATTTTTTTAAATTCTTCTATTCTTATATTTTTAATATATGAATAGTATAAAATAATTTCAAGTGCTCTTTAGTGTTGCCTTTGTGAAGCTAGAACACTGCCTTTGCAAGATAAGAAGCGTCTGGCCCATAAATTGTGCAATCATCAAAGCGACAAAGGAGTCTCGGCCTGCAGAATCTTGTTCATATTAGAGATTTTCTGTCCGTCCGTCCAACAGTCTCTCCGACCGTCCGTCCGTGTGTCAAATAAAGTGGCTACAACGACAGGCGAATGCACAGAAATTTGTGTATTTTAATTAAAAATGCGCCAACGATGCCGAGCAGCTTCATCTGCTTATTAATTAGGAGGAGTCGGTCGGTCGTTGGCTGGCAGTCATCTCCCCCCATCTCGGTATCTCTGCCACATCTCCTCCGATTCTCCACCGATTCTTCCTCGATTCTCCCCCGATTCTTCAGCCATATCTCCTCCGCCAGCTCGGCCATCGTGGTCTACTTAAAGTGGAGCCGGTTCAGCTGGCCAGAGGATCACTCGGCCGGTGGTCCCCCGACTGCAGTTGCCCGGCTAATTCTGCTTTTTGTGGCTGGCGCTGACAACTAAATTGAAAACGGCCCGATTGAGTGGTTTATGAAAGCTGCCATGTGGCACAGATGCCGTCGAGGGGCCACTGGACACACATGATTTGAGGGGTCTGCGCTCCATAAGTCAGCGGGATGCGCCCAAGGCTGTTGGCGCGGAATTTCGCATTAGCCGCACACATGGGGAGCACAACTCCTTAGCCACTAAGAGAACTATCCTAGAAAAACCGAAAGTTAATTGTTTTCCTCTCTCTGCCATTTCAGACTGGATGGGAAGCCCCTTCGAGCGTGTCGTTTGCGGCGATTTCAACGGTAAGTACCGCAATTAACCGGAAACCCTTGAAGTTAATATCCCGACTGGCATTGAGCCAATGGGTTATCGGTCCAACCAGCCGTGGAATATGACGGTCCAGCCTGTTTTTTACCGCCTGCCGAATGGCCTTGAGAAATATGATTTACCTGACGAGCCGACTGAGGCTACTTTCACCCACCAAAACCCTTCTCTGCGGAAATTGCAGCCTGCAATCTGCCGCATTCATTCGTCACACGACTCCCGCTGTCCTGTCATAAATCCCTCATCCTTTGTAGTTTTCCCTCTCCTATTCACTGGGCAACTTCTTTGTTTATCGGAGTCATTTTCTGGCAAAAATCAGGGGACAGACAATGGCTTGCGAAAGGTTTAGACATCCGGCAACTGCTCGCTCTCTATGCTAATTTGGCGAACTCCGTGAAAGTTGCACCGGTAACTCAATCATGCCGGTCAAGTACTCGCCGAGATCGTAAATCACCATCCGCATTGTTCGGGGCCCCCCAAAATCCAAGCTGCTGGTGTCCATAACAATTGGTAAAATACGTTGGGTTCAAATTTAGCGACAGAAAAACTCACTCAAAACTAAACTCGATTGATCGATTTGAGAGATCGACGATCTGCGATGGGTCCGCTGCTTTGGGCCTCGTTAAACGTATTTTTATGGGCGTTTTATGATCTATTTACGATTTTACGCTTGGTCTTGTGCCGTGCATAACGATCAAGATGTTGTGGCCACTACCGAACGATCCCAGTTTTATGGCCCTGATAATGGCGTTGATTGTTTGGCGAATCACCGCCGCGTTTAATTAGTTCGACAAGCGACAAGGGCAGCCACGAACACGAGTAGCCACTGTCAATTGCTGGTTACAATGGCCGGTCATTAATCGGCATTCATTCCCATTCCCAATCCCAATTCCATCTACATGCGCCTATATGCCCATTCACATTTCACTTGAGTTAATGGCGCTTTTCCCATTAGTTGGGGTTCGAATAAGGCATGTAGTCGAATAACAATAGGGACCACTGTGTGTTTATTAATTCACCGCCTAGTTTATTTCCGTGATTATACTGGGTCCCACAAGTTCCAAAAGCAATTTACAATTAGTTTTTGACTGTAATGTCTAATTGAACAAAACGGTGGGTCGCCCTAATAAATAATGCAAAATAAGTTGGCCTTTCTAATTACTTTCCATTTTAATGGTGTAATGTGCAATGATTTTTATTGAACAAGTTTTAAATATCTTCAATCATTTTTAATCTTCAGGAAAGATTACTTCTCAAACTTGCATATGCATTTAAAATATATAAAACAGAAAAAGTTGTTATATGATATAAGGACATTTAAAAACCCAAAAATTAAAAAAAAAAACTAGCTACCAAATTACACAATGGTCATACATATTCCTACTCCAAGCTTGTCGAGTCGCCCCACAAATCTCAGTTATGTTTTATCGATTAGGAAACGAATTCAACCGTTTAAGTGTGTACATTGCGCATACGCACAGTGGTCCCCCAGTGACATTAACAACCTGCCCCTTCCCCTCGGTGTGGCATGTAATTGCGAGCCGTTTAATTGCGCTCGACCACTGGACAAACACTGCGGCCAGTGTCCCAATAGTCTGGCTTTTGTTTTTGGTATGGGGCCTGCTGGTCCTCTGGTCTTTAGTATTTGGTATTTGGTTTTCGGTCTTTGGGGCTGGAATGAAATCGGAGCGTTCGTGCCGGAGTTCTGTGCCACAGAAGTACGTGCCACGGCTCAGCTTTGGGCGTCACAGATCGTTTGATATTCGAGTGGGTTCAGGCCCCCTGGACTCCCCCCTTTTCCACTGGCGATCCTCTGGTGTTTGTTTTGTAAATAAATCACTGGCGTTGGCGTTGAGCGGAGTCATTCGGGCAATTTACAGCACTAACAGCCGCTGTTTGACAAGTAATTAACTCACCGAGTTTCAGTTGGCATTCTGCATAGATTGCTTTGGTGGTTTTTTGCTGTGGTTTCGGGTTACGATCGCCAGATCAGCAGAGAGAAGTGTTCGTCTGGGTTCCCAAGTAATTTTCCTATTTTTCTATCAATTGAGCTTTGTACTTGAATGTAACTACATTTGTCAACCCAAGCTAAGATTTGATATGTTATTTAAAGCTGCGTTAATAAAAAATGATTTCAAAGTTACCCAAACAAGTAATATCAATTAACCATTACTTAAACAACAGCCATAAAAACGTAGTCACAAGCAGTTTATGTTTAATTTTTATTGCTTTTAAGTCATCATAATTTTTTTAAGGAAAAGATGCTAAAATAAATTTTTCAAAGTATTCATTATCAAAGTAAGCATCCAAAAATATTTATGTGAACAGGATGATTAATCACTTTCAACAATATTATTATATTTCAGTTTTTTTAATTTTCAATGTAGACCTTACAACTTATTGCCTTGCTAAATTCTAAACCAAATCATTTAGTTTGATTCAAAGTCTATAATGCTATCGATCTCCGTGTCATGATTTATTTGCATTCCCCGCACAACGAAATCGGCGCGAATGGAATAATAAAATATATTATTTTTATTAATTTTACAAGCCATAATTGCGGGTCGCGATAAGCTCGCCCGCCGGGAATTGAGTTATTGCCACAAAGGCCTTTCTATCTCTGTGCCCCGTCTCTTTCTCCGGCTGTCTGCCCGTCTCTTTCTGAACTCAAAGCACTGTCTTTCGATTTGAACTCGTCGCGCCTGGAATAAATGCAATATCAATGTTTTAATTCAATTGTGCCGGCGATCAATGTCATTGACAGGGGTTTCTGGGGGCGCGAAGATCCGCCATCTCGCAGATAAAGGCTGATCTTTCTGGGGTTAAGATTCCCCCAGCATCCCTCCTCCCCTCCCTCTCTATCTGTGCTGCCATCTCGCTCGAAACATGGACGACGGCTGGCAAGGGTTAATTTATGAGGCGCGATAAGCGAATTCCATTTCGTTTCGGTTTTGTTTAATTTCCGATTCCCTGTGTTTTCTGTTTTCCTCGTCTTTTTTCTTTATTTGGTGTTGCTGTATTTACATTTGCTCCCTCTCTCTCTACCTCTCTCCGTTTCAACCACAGCTATCTCCCTCTGATGGGGATGGGTGGGGGGCTGGGGGAGTGTGCGACACCGTGTTATCGGCACGTTTTGTGTCGTTGTATTATACTTTTTTCGGTTTTTTCATTTCGCCCAGCGGCAGCGGAAAATTCGAAATGACACGTTTCTCCGAGTGTTGTGTTGTTGTTGTTGCCTTTTTAACTACCCCGTGCGGCTGTTAATCTGCGGTTTTAATGCCCAAGTGGCGCAAATTGGCAAAAAGGGGTTTGGACTGCAAGGATCCGGCGCGGGCGGACCACGAACGACAGGCTGACGGAACCACAGACAAGGACAAAATGGCAGCCAGACTGGCGCGGATTTTTGGCACTTGGAGTGGGTCGGCAGACATGTAAATTTGGCCCAGACAAAATCAAATTAAAAGCGCACACGTTCCACAGACAATTGCCGACTAGATCCCCGCCCATCGACGGCGCTTAATCAAAGTTTATTCCCCTCTAAAACGACACACAGCCAGAAAAATAGGTTCTACTATTTCTAAAAATATCTAAACCGCATCCTTGTAGAAATACTCGTTTTCAAGTGAACATAAATTGGTTGTTTTTTTCATTGTATGATTTTTTTTAACATATAAAGAGTTTCTACCTTACATTTAATTCATTTCAATTTAATTCAATATTATACTTTTTAGCAGTGCACATGTGTGGGAACAAACAAACACATCACTGGGCAAACTTTACCCATTTCCATTAACTTAAATATTTAATTTACAAAAAGTTTTATTTAGAACGCGCTCTGGCGTGCGACATTTTCGCAGTTTTCCATTTTCCGCATCGCGTGCAATGCGTGACTGCGACCATTTGCCCCCGACTTTCCTGTTGCGATAAATTTGAAGACAGAGAGTAGTTAATATTAATTTAATCGCGGAATTAAACAACTCGCCGGCGGTGTCGGTTAATGCACTCTTTGGTGCCATTCTTGCGGCTAAATTTATTACATCTTCTGATTAATTGCAGAGATTAGAGTGTTTACGATGCACTCAGTTCTCTTTGATGCTCCACAATCATTGGTTAATGTGCGTGGCAACGAGGTAAATGCATTTGTGAAGAATGGGGAGCATTTAGTTTCTTTAAAATTAGTTTCTGGTTTTCGTTTTAATCAGCAAATAAGTGTTTTATTCATTGAGTTCTTATCCTAACGTTTATGTAATTATGAATTATAATTTCGAGGATTTTCCCAAATTTATGTGTGTACCTTTGACACTTTTCAGCGCAACAATTCCAAAGAAAATTTCCTCGAGTTCTCTTGGGGAATAAAGAAAACGCAGTGCCTATTGTTTGGTAGGAATCCTCCCCTCAAGAAACTCGTTATTCCAGTTCTTGGCTTTTGTGGGAATCCTTCCGTTCCCTCGGTCCTCTCTCCTAATGAAGCAATTCAGGTAATTGGAGTTCCTTCGCCAGAGCTTCGAATGCAATAGTTCTGAAAAGAACAGAAACTTGAAAGGGCCCAACAATGGAGAAAATAAAAACCTGTCGGTGACAAAAGACTTCTTTCTGGGATCATGGCAGCAGCATCGGCCACCATTTTCTCGAATTACTCTCGTTCAGCCATTAACAAAAGGCCAACTGGGCGAGTGTGTGTGAGCCATTAATCAAGTTTGTCAGCCACGAAGAATTCGAAGGGAAGTTCAAGATTGGAAACACTAATAAGTGAGGTGAGGTTCGTTTGCTGCGGTCTGCGGTGCTTCGGCGACTATCAATTTCTCAGGAGCCCACAGGACCACACCTGGGCATTTCGAGGGGGAAATCCAGAGAGGGGTTCTCCGTGGGTATTATAATGAAATTTCCGAGCGAGGGGATAAGCATGAGTTATGCGCACGCCTAGGTAAATATAGAACCCGCATCGATCGATCGATGCTTTTTATACGAATTTAAGTGT